TATCTCACGGCTATTGTTCGTCTCGCTCGTTCTGTTTGATGTGCCCCATTACCCGAAGAAGAAACGTTGCTGCGCAGTTAGCATGCAAAGTTCCGCGAAGCCAAAATATTTCATTCTCTCCCGTGTGGTTCGGTGCACGTATCACGAGTGTGAGCATCAATCTCCGTCGCTGACCCAATCGTTACGTTCCGTGCCTTACACTTTCACACACTCGCACACAATAACAAAGGCTCCTTGCAGTCGCCGGTGCGTGTGCCGTTAGCGAGCACCCGACCGACTGTTGTCTCCCCATTGCTGATGTTTGACACACTGAACCAGTTACCATAATTCAGGCTGAATCAACCTAGGAGTTGCACAGAACCGGTTCAGATATTTGCCACCGATGTTCACCGTGTCTCGGTGCCCCGGCCGCGGTTTGTAGCACGCTTCGCCACTGCTGCCCCTGTGCCATTCATCGCTATCCACATCAACCACGACACACCCGCAGCTCGCGTGCGCCTGAGACGTATGTAACGCCAGAGACGTAACGCTCGAGACGTACGCTCGCCCAAGACGTACGAGTGAGACGTACGCTCGCCCAAGACTAAACGAGCATGAACGAGACCACAGGTGTGGCTGCGAAGCCCTCGTGACGCACGTCCACTCTGCCAGGCAGACTCGGGACGCAGGTTCGCAACGGAGAGAACAATGGCACTTCAGTGCAGGAAAGCGACCAAGAGAAATGTGACAATGGAGGTTGGTTGACAAAACTCGACACGGAGTGAATAATCCGCGGTGAACAAATATGTCTGTGGCCGTATGGGTGCACAGGTGCGTGCGTGTGCGTGTGTCGGAAGTGGTGGTGCAGTGGTGAGCACGCTATGCTGCCCAGAAACCCAAGTGAGATTTCTGCTCACAGCTAATACCTATCACGATTATCTGAACTGGTCCTGAGCCTCCTCTAGGTCGACTCAGCCATTAACGTTGTTTCGGGTTGATCCAAGAGTGTGAAATCACCGGTCTTGAGGTCGGTTTGTGGTGGCACGTGACGTCGGATGGCGTCGCTTCCAGAAATACGAGATGTTTGAAACCAAACTGTGTCCTTTGTGAGTATAATCTAACAATAGCTTGTAACACGCGCTCGCAGAGCAGTCTCTTTGCGCTGTCGTAGGGAGAGAGGGGACGACTCGGGAACGAGGAGAGGAGTAGCGGGAAGCCAGCGATGTGGTGAGCCGGTACCAACTATTACCAAAGCTCTTGTGGCCCTCTACACATGAAGACGTTATCGGCCGATCACCGAGCGCTTATACAGTGATCCCCTGCTGATTTTGTACGTTTGCCCACTGACAAAGAAATGATCAGTCTATAATTTTGGTGGCCAACTACAAGAAACGTCTGACCTGTGATTGCCAACAAGGGTTTTGCCACCAAGTACTAAGTCATGTTTTGCAGAGGGGTCAAATACTTATTTCCCTCATTAAATGCAAATCAAATTATAACATTTTTGACATGCGTTTTTCTGGATTTTGTTGTCGTTATTCTGTCTCTCACTGTTCAAATAAACCTACCATTAAAATTATAGACTGATCATTTCTTTGTCAGTGGGCAAACGTACAAAATCAGCAGGGGATCAAATACTTTTTTCCCTCACTGTACACGTGGGAGGTAATTTGGAGCTGCCGGAGAAAACCCACGAGTGCCAGGGGGAAACCCTCGATCCCGTACAGATGTGACGGATGATATTCAACGACACTATTGCTGTACCGCCTTTCTCCTGGCGAGCCAGGGTACGGCTCCTCCTCGACGCCCGCGGGAAGAAGGGAGTTTCGTGACGACATCCGCGTGCAATCCACCAACCCTCGCTGCCTCCTCCACAGTGCCGGATCACTACAGGCGGCCGCGTGCAGCGGCAGAGTAGCCACCGGCGACACGTACGTGCTTGTGCCCGTACGCCCCGTGCGCAGCGTCCTGGCAGCTGGCGTGACGGCGCTGGTGTCGCCGCTCGCTCACAATCGGCGCTCATGCATTAATCACACACCGGCGGCGGGGGGTCGCGTTTGCCGGGGCGCCACTCCCCATGGCGCCACTCCGCGCTTTCACGCTCCTAAGCTTCAACCAGCCCGCCCGCTGTTAAATAATGTAGAGAGCCGCCCGTGGACCGTGCCCGCCCGCCCGCCCGCCCTCGCGCACGTTCCACCCACTGGTCATCATCACCGTAGTCATCACCGTTGTCAACGGCATCGTCATCACTGTCGTCATCACCGTCGTCATCACCGTTGTCAACGGCGTTGTCATCATTGTCGTCATCGCCGTTGTCAGCGTCGTCGTCGGCGTCGTCATCACCGTCGTCATCGGCGTCGTCATCGGCGTCGTCATCGGCGTCGTCATCGGCGTCGTCATCTGCGTCGTCATCTGCGTCGTCATCGTCGGCGTCATCGGCGTCATCGGCATCATCATCGTATTCTTCCATTTTCGCCATCACCCACGAGCATTATCAGGATCCTCTATCATTGTAATCATCATCAGTGTCACTTTCTATTATCGCCACCATTGATATCATCGTTTATCATCATGATCGTCATCTTCCGTTGTCATCATCATCATTGTTATTGTTATCATCATCGTTTATTTTGTTATCGTTATTGTTATCATCATTGTCATCATTCTTGTTATTGTTTTCATCGTTTTTATTGTTTTATCATCGTCATTGTCATCGTCGTCATATCTCAGAAGCTAAGCGTGGCTGAGCCTAGTTTGTGACTGACCTGCCACAGAAGATCCTGGCTTTAATCTTTTGGGCCACAACCCTCAAGCACATCCGCACCCACCATGGCAGCTGAAGCGAATACTTGACCACGTCGACGATGCAGAAAATGGGAAATTAAAAAGTTTCCGATCAGCATGCGGCGACTGTGGTCACCACCCAGAACAGAGCAGCGGAGCAGATAAAGCGGTCTCGCCGTCCGATTCACAAAGACGAAGAAGGAGGAAGAGATGGCCCCGTCAAAGCGATACTCCGCTACTCGCGATCGCCCGGCTCGTTAACCACCGCGGCCTTAAAGTCACTACTGCCGTTCTACACCAGGGGCCGGCAACCAAAATAACCAGAGGGGCCACATTTTTTTTATTAGGTCAAAAAACTAATACGAGACAGCGGTGGTTGTCCTTCATAAATAATTGTCACAAAGCAGTCGCGTAAAGAGCCGCCGCACGCGGCTCCGGAACGGCGCCCTGCCCACGCCCTGGATCCGCACCAGCGGCAGCCTCGCGGAGTTGGCGCTGGGTGGGTGCCCGCCGCTCCCACCGCTCCCACCGCCACCACCAAGCCACTCCGGTCGGCATGGCAAAGCACAGCGAGATGGCCGTTAGGTGGCGGTGCGGCAGAGCGGGTTATTGAATCCAATCGGTGGACACCGCGTGGGCTGCCCCCAGGTGGCGCGGTTCTCTCCCGCGGGATGTCCGACGTTCCTCTTCACGTGGCCGGGGGAGCTTCTGCAGCGAACGGGACGTCGTGCCGGACGGAAACGTGCCACCTGAATCGTCTCCACGTTACTCCGGTCTCCTCGCCCGTGACGGAAAATAAACATTTCCCTGTTTAAATGGGCCGGGTGACCCAGTGCAGGACCCGCCTGGGTGAGAACCTGTAGACTCGGTGGGGATCTTCTGGCTCGCAGCACCGTGTTGCTGTTGTCTGTGCTGTGTGTGAACACGACTGGAAAAACATTTGCTTGGCACCAACGTTACCAGGAATTAGCTTCCCTGAAAATGAGCGTTGAGATGAAAGTCTGTGTTGCCTACCCAGGGCGAGAAGTCAAGAGAGCAGGGCGAGTCGCGGTCTCTGAGAGTGGCCGGCGGGCCGTTCTCCTGCTGCCAGAACGGGGCGATGATTGCCTCTGTGGGTGTGTGGAGTTCAACTTAAGTCATTTGTGGGTGATTTTCGAAATTGGCAAAATTGAGACTCTGACGCCCGGCGCACAATGGCCCGGTCTGTACAAATGACGTTGCGGAGATCCGGCGCACGGCTACGGTTACCACGCACACCTCAGTGTCGACCACGGTGGCCACTCGCCTCGAACCGCGAACCTCTGGTGGCACCGTCAAGCAGAGCGGTGCCGTCTGAGTGCAATGCACGCGTCTTGAGTGCGTGTCGTGTGTAAGTGTGTCGTGTGTGTGCGTGTCGTGTGTGCGCGTGTTGTGTGTGTGTCGTGTGTGTGTGCGTGTGTTGTGTGTGCGTGTGTTTTGTGTGTGTGTGCGTGTCGTGTGTGCACGTGTTGTGTGTGTGTCGTGTGTTGTGTGTGTGTGCGTGTGTTGTGTGTGCGTGTGTTTTGTGTGTGTGTGCGTGTCGTGTGTGCACGTGTTGTGTGTGTGTCGTGTGTTGTGTGTGTGTGCGTGTGTTGTGTGTGCGTGTGTTTGTGTGTGTGTCGTGTGTGCGTGTCGTGTGTGCGCGTGTTGTATGTGTGTGCGTGTCGTGTGTGCGCGTGTTGTATGTGTGTGCGTGTCGTGTGTGCGCATGTTGTGTGTGAGTGCATGTCGAATGTGTGCGTGTGTTGTGTGTGTGCGCGTGTTGTGTGTGTGGGTGCGTGTTGTGTGTGCGCTTGTGTGTGAGCTGGGGAGCGGTGGCGCAGTGGTTATTACACTGCGTTACAAACCTGAGGACCCGAGTTTAATTCCCGCTCACCGCCACCCAGTGAAGATTTTATGAACCTGGTGCGGTGTGTAAACATTGCCACTGGGGAGACAAAGGTGGCCCCGCGTGGTGCTGGCCAACCACCCTCTCGTATTCTGTGCTGGCCTTCATAGGCGCTCACTAACAGCACTTGCCCTGACAGTCTGTTCAGGCTACACGGGGGATCTTTGGCTTTGTGTGCTGGAGAGACAAAGGCAGCCGGGCGTGGTGCTGGCCAACTACCCCGTCGTGTGCTGTGCCAACCTCTGTAGATGCTCGCTAACAGCACTTACCCCAATAGTCTGTTTGATGCTCTGCTAAGAGGGACCTTTTTGTCTTTGTGTGTTCTGCCTAGGTTCAGCAATGGCCTCCCAAGTCAATAAGGATCTCCGGGTGATCGCAATCAACGCCACTCAGTCAGAAAAATTCCGCGATAACCACGTCAGGTGAGTGCGGCATCCCAGTCGACCGCTCAGAGCAGTTGTGTCACGCGGGCTGCTTGACCATGCTTCACCGCGCCGATCGGTGCCACTCGCCACCGATGTTGGCCGGGGATCGTTGTCGGCGGTGTGCCATGCGGTGTGCCATGCGGTGTGCCATGCGTGTGCCATGCGGTGTGCCATGCGTGTGTCATACGTGTGCCATGCGTGTGCCATGCGTGTGCCATGCGTATGCCATGCGTGTGCCATGCGTGTGCCATGCGTATGCCATGCGTATGCCATGCGTGTGCGGTACAGTATAATGTGCATACATGTGGAGTGCAGTGCGGCGTGCATACGCTGTGGGTAAGCCCTGCAACAGCTATAAGATCCGATCCGTTTTCACTCTCCAACGAGGTCCGTGAGATCTTCGGATTGCCATCTGCCAAGGACTCCGAGGTCAAGGCTCTGTGCTTGTTGCGTCTGTCTTGAGAATCCACCTCTGTAGACCGGCCTTCACCCCTGCCCAGTCCTGGCCGTGTACCCTGCAGGTTATGTTTGTCTCCTGCTTTGCATGTACGGTGGTGGGCGTATTGGTGGGATCTACGGATGAAATGCGTAACTTTACCGATGGACATCATAATCACTGTTATTAATTACCAGGTCCTCGCATGCACGCGATTTGATACGCACGTTATTGGCGATCCATTCTTTGATTTCAACCAACCACCACGGGCCCACAATGGAAAAAGGCAACCAATCAAACATTATGTAATGTCGCGCCCTTCACAAGAAAAATGGTCACAGAGCGCTTCACAGATGGCCACGTTAAAACATACGTAACGTTACATCGGTATACACACAAGTTAAACTTAATACAAACAAAATAACATCAACCCACTCCCTGAGCGAGTAAACAAGCCCCATAAATCGACCATCAAATCGTGGTGTCAAGCTGACAGACATCAAATGTTGGAATGCTCCATCCTGGACGGCCCCGTGGACTTAGTCGAGCTGCGATGGGGTGTTCACCAGGTGCCTCACTTCCTTGTCGCACGCTAAGCTCCGGAGTTACCCAAACAGTCACGGCGGCACCAGGCGGCCCCGGAGACCGGAGCCTTGAGACTTCTCCTGGTGACCCAGGGTATGGCACCTCGATGCCCACGGGAAGGGAGTTTCGCAATGTTTGCGTGATAGCCAACACGGCGGCGTGTCGCCTAGTATCGGCGACAAGTCGCGATTATTGCAGCTCACTACTCTACGGGACGTCTCGAAACAAAAACATTAGCAAGCTGCAGTGTGCACACAACTGTGCAGTGTGCACACAACTGTGGCGCGTGTTGTGACGGGTGCTGCAAGATCCGACCGTGCCGAGCTGCCTTGACTTCTAGCTGCTGAATGGACACATTGTCAGGCCGCGCTCGCTGCACACAAAGTGCTTGCCACAAATGAGCCACGGTACCTCGCTGATCTCTTGAAGGCGCATGAACCTTCATCACGCGAACTCCGGTCATCCTCGAATCGGCTTTTGGCTAGAAATCTAACAAAGACGGTCACTGCATCGGGCGCTTTCAGATGCGTTTTGGCAGCCATCTGGATTGCTTTTCCAATATTAGGAAACCACTGAGCTATGCACTTTTAAATGATCTAGATTGACAACTCATTGCTTTAGAACTGGCTTTTGTATTTAGTTTTCATCCTTCCCCAGCACCTCTGATTAGCACGGTTGACTATGTATGGTGCAAAAGAAGTTCAACGTCGATATGATCCACCAACCCTCGCTGCTGCCTCTACAGCGCTGGAGTACGGCAGGACACGTGCAGCAGCAGCAGCAACGTAGCGGCCGCCTCCGCCACCACCGCCACCACCGCCACCACAACCGCCACCACCACCACCGCCCGATCGTAGGCCGCGGGGTTTGACGCGGTGCCAGTTTGCCGGCACCTGTCGCAAACATAGAACAGATGGCGAGTGGCGGCACGAGGCTCGCTGATAACACGATAACGCGATAACATTGCTGCAGATGCCACGAACGTTGCCCCCCAACCCCCCCTCGGAATATTCGGGCCACACGTCGTCCCGCACTTACAGACCGCCCTGCGTTGCGCGTTTCGGCGTCACCGTACAAACCTCCCGAACGTGAAAATGAATTACTCGCAAATTACTAATCCATAATAAGTTTTATTTTGGGTTAGGTCACGTAAATATCTATGTGTGTCATTAAACCCACCCCACGACCCGACACAGCCAGTCGGTAAGGTTTGTCACGTAAACAGAACGTGCCAATTAGTTACTAGTTCAGCACACCGGCTGTGTGTTGGAGACTAAACCCACTACAACGTTTACAATTCAAATACCGTGACGTTTCACCAGTAATTACAACAACAACCAGCTTCATCAGGCGACAGCCCGAGTTGATAAAATTATGCTCATCTGTGAAACATCGTGCCTTTTGTGACAGCCTTGCGCTCTAAAAATTCTACAAATGCCACCAAAGAACACTCAGTGATGATTCTTCGTTATTGCCGATGCCGAACAGCGATTGTCAATTACGCATCGTCCTTGGGATGAGGCGATCTGGCTTCGTCACCAATGTCACAGAGTGAGAATCCCTCCTGATGTTGAGCCAACGCTGTCGCTGCGGTGAGCGCACTGCACTCGCGATCCCGAGGTCGCTGGTTCGATTCCGTCTATCCCGACGCGGCTGATGGGACACCAGGGCAAGTTGGCCAAGTCACAGTGACTAAGAAATGTTACTGCCTCACCTGGTATGCAGGAGGTCGTTCCCGACTCTGACGCCTGCTGTCTATTTGGAGTTTGCGTGTTCTCCCCCGTGGTCATGTGGATTTTTCTCCAGGTTGTCCGGTTTTTTACTAGAAACATACATTTACAGTATTTGGCTGCTATCAATTTCTACATGATAAGCCACTTCGTTGAGCGATCATTTGTGGCCAGGTTAAAAATAATTTTGAGTTTAAGTTCTCCCCCGCCTACTTATGTCCACCCAGCAGCGCACGCAGGCGCTTGGTGTGGTGGGGTAAAGTGTGGGTACGCCCACCTTGAAGATGTAGGAAAACACATCCTCTCTCTATGGGTCCCTCTGGTGAAGGTCCTTCTGCAACAGTGGTTTGAGGGAGCATTTGCAGGGGCTGCACCTTTACACTTTATTCACGGCAGGCGTTAACGTTTATGGGGTGGACAACACTGAAGCTCTGCTCAAAGACAGGGGTCCCCCGTGTAGCGTTAACTGGCTGTTGGGGCAAGTGCTGTTGGCGAGCAGCACCTATGAAGGCCGGCACGGTGCATGATGGGGTGGGTGGCCAGGACCACGGCCTGCCGCCTTTGTCTCCCAGTGGTGATGTTTACACACCACTCCAGATACTCATTTGAGGCTGAGTCCACCTAGGGGAGGCCCACGACCGGTTCAGATAATCGTCACTGGTGCTGGCCGTGAACGGGAATCGAACACACGCACACGCATGCAAACAAACACGCTTACAAATACATACACGCACGTACGCATGCACAAACACATGCACGCACACATGGACGCACACACGCACGCACACACGCACGCACACACGCACGCACACACCCGGGCAATGAACCCATTAGTTATGCCGCCACCCCGTGCGCACCCTCAGCCTAGAGCCCCTCCGTGGCATTTCCAGGCAGTTTTCCCATCCCGAGCCGTGAGCAGGCCAAGCGTGCTCCGCTGCCAAGGCGCGACGGGAACGTCGCTTAGCGCCCTGGGCATGACACAAAAATAATAATGAAGCAACACAGTCGCTTTGTGAGTTTCACAAATCCGCCAACCCTCTCCTCCATGGCTATGGATCAGTGGCGTGCGGCACCACGACCACCGCCGCCACCAACGCCACCGCTACCACCGCCACCACCGCCACCACCGCCACTGCGCAGCGTCAGGTAACCTCACGGGGGAAAGCCAGAAAAAAGTCGACAAAGCGCGTCAACTTTTCTACGAGCGTCGTAAAAAGCGAGCCCTTGGCCCGTGCACTCCCCCCATATCTGTGCCTCATGCATATTTCAGGGTAAGTGCTGATAGCCTGGAAGAGCCTCGCAAATTATTATCGTGATCTGTTTTATCCTTGGCCATGTCAGCCCGAAGGCGGTCGGCTTGAGCGGGAGTGGGGCTGCCACGTTGGCACTCGATTTGAAAGCCTCGTGACGTTCGATTTATTTATTTTTTGCCATCCGTGAATTATTGATGGCGCTCCGACAAACCCCGGGACCCTCGCGAAGATTAATCAAGGTCGAGAGTGCGAGGGGCGGCGAAGACGACGCGGCTCCCGAGTTACGCGGACGGCGAAGGGCCGGCCCCCGCACGAAGCAACCGCACGAAGCAACCGCGGGAAGCAACCGCAGAAAACAACCGCGCGTTAATGCCGAGTTCTCGACCGTTGGCAACGATCATCGTTCCGAGCGGTGTCTCCTGCTCCAGCCCAGTCGCTTTCACCTGTTGTCTCGTGCGCGCGTCCTTCCTCTTTGCGTCTCCCAACCCTGAATCCACGATGACTGCCACAGGACTAACGTCGTGACGACCGTTGGCGTTTCACTTGGCATGGCGCCTGTGCCGGCCGCGAGCATTAGAAACGCAGTGTTTGATATACACGACGAGCTCCGAGGCCTCGCATTCCGTGGTCGTTCTCCGGAACCGGGTGGTGGTACCCCGTGAGCATCGCCCGATGAGGGGCGTTCGCCCGAGCTCCCAGAGGTGGAGTCAAGCGTGGTGGTTGGTTGGCTGTCGATTCTGCAACGGTTGTGGGATCTGGCGGAAGGAAGGAAGGATCGCGAGGCGTCGTGGCATCTGATGATGCAGCCGATCGCCTCTGTGAAGGCACTTTTCTTCAACCGAGACGTCCTTCCATGCGGTGGCGCGGGGTCCCGAGCGTGGACGCCGAGAGGGCATTGGGGGGGCCGCATGGAGTGGCTGCCCCTGCCACCTGACCCTCCCTCGACTCACAATCCCTCACTTTTCCACTCCGCACCCGAGCGTGGTGCAGCGGAGGCTGTCAAGAACAGACATTTATTTCTGGCATGTTCTTAAGATCCCTCTCCGAGACCGGAATTTTTTTAATGATCACAATTGCATCCACAATGTATTTTTTACGCATACAAATTTAAGAGAACCTGCGTTTAAAATTATTGTACAACCCTTATAAAATAGATACTCCCTACCTATATAATGATTCATGTCCTGTGAAGAAGAACCATTGCCTGAAACGTTGCCTGTTATGTTTCTTAATCAGAATCTGTATTTTTACTGGAGGAATCCAATGAGCTATAAAGCTCTCTTTCACAGATGCCCAGTAGGGGCACGGGGGGGGGATAAGAACACCACAACAATACACACAGCACACAAACACGATAGGAGTGAAGAGTGCGAGGAAGGTTAACCGCACGCATTGTGATCAACCATTAGTGGTGTTGGGTTTTTTGTTCACCTGAATTATTCGTGGAGCCTCGTGACGTACAACTGCAACAGGAGAATGTTGACGGTAGCTTTACTAACTCGCTATTTTCTTGCAGCTGCCTCGAAATAAAAATAGGTGGGTGGGATGCCGGGGGTGGCCCTGTTTACAAAGCCGGTGGCCAAAGTTAAACATTTACACTTGCAGATCGGTGTGACCAGTGCACACAGATCGGAGCGCGGGCGACGGAAAATGCCGTCATTGACGCCCTCTGTGTTTAACCGGATCGGCGACGGCGCCCTGAAGCACAAACGCCCTCTCGATGGCTCGCCGCGGGGCCCCGCGCGGTCACCGCGTAAACGTCGCACTCGTGGCGAGCGCCATTTAGCTAAAGGTTGCGGAAATAAGAAGCGCGTGGGAAGTGTGGGAGAAGCACTGGGGATGTGTGGGGGAAGCGCGGAGGAAGCATGGGGGAAGGGGAGTGTTCCACCCAGATAACCGACGCGTCTCCATCCCCGTGTCTCTCTCTCCCCCACCCCCCAGCACCGCCAAGTACAACGTGGTGACGTTCCTGCCACGGTTCCTGTTCGAGCAATTCAGGAAAGCTGCCAATGCCTTCTTTCTACTCATTGCCTTACTGCAAGTAAGGCATACCTGTCGCCCTCACCCCCCCACCCCCGTGTTTCTATCGAGTTGTTAAATTGACTTGTGTCCCCGAATTGTGACGGATCATGGGAAGGTCGTGGGGTCGCTGAATGTTTAGTTCCTGCCAGGAGTTTTATGTTTGAGCTCTTGTACACCGGAGCAATGGAGGAGTGGCGCCGCGGGGTCTCCCGGACCCGTCCCTCCTGTTGTCACCACGGCGGGCGTGCAGGTCAAACATCTCATTGGAGACCCAAACATCGCACATCCTGGCTTTGACGTTCCTCCTCGTCAAAGACATCAGTGGTGGCACCATCAACCGCATCAGAACATCAACAGCAGGCACATCTCCTTCATGAATGTCCAGTGTCCTCCTCGGTGTGCGTGCGTGTGGGGCGCACACACTCAGTCGGAGACGAGGTAGTTGCAGGAGGCACCATCTCTCTCTCTTTTTATTTCCCGTTACACCAACTCCGGCCTCCTCTGTCTCGACCACGCTGCCGTACAGCCCTGCCTAGGCACAACCCTGACCGCGGTGCACCGACGGCGTCGGCCGAGACAGACAACCACTGTCCGGCCGCGCAATTATTGGGCGAAGGCGGCGAAGACGACGGCGGCGGCGACGACGAGACGGGTCCACTCCCAGAACCGGCCGCCCGGAGCTCTCCGCTGCTTTTATTCTACTCGGCGTGGCTCGGCTCCGCCCTGGCCACACCTCCGTGACCCTTACCCCAGTTCCTCAGTGCGCTCACTGTCCACCGCAGTTGCCGCTGCTGGACAGCAGTCGGCGCTGTGTCACTACACAATGTAAAATGAAAGAGGAGCCACAGTAGTGTGATCGTGGCCATGCAATTCAAACGATGGACCATAGATTAAAACCCCTAGAGATAGGGATACACAGAGACCCATTGAGTTACATGGAGACACAGACACTCATAGCGATAGACTCGAGAGATGAAAACAAACTCAGAGATACTCATACCGACAAATGCTCAAAGGGGTACAGAGTCATTAAGTCACATAGAGAAACATACAAAGGCATAGAGATACATAGCGACCCATAGAGATACATAGCGACCCATAGAGATACATAGCGACCCATCGGATATACATTGACACAGAGGCTCGGGGATACAAAGAGACTCGTAGATATACATTACAGACAAGCAATCCACACTATGGCCTTATTTGGTAAAATAAAAATAGTTTTACGTTTAGTTTATACTTAACCACTGTAAGTACGTATGTTGAACTTCTTTCGCACCATAGTAGCCAACTTTGCTAATAGGAGGTGCGTGGGAAGGGCACCAAACTAAACAGAAAAAGCAGTATTACATAAATTAGTTTTGAATCTAGATTTAAAGTGCATAAGCTCCACTGGCTTCCTAATAGATCCATGGCTTCCTAATAATGTCGTCAGCACTCCTTCAATGGAGGTGGAACAACAAAACGAACGAACTCTCTCCTGAAGCCCTCCCTCTGGTCGTGGTCAGCAGCACACCTCGACGCTGGAACCGAGCTGCTGAGCCACACTGCTGCTGCTGCTGCCGCCGCCACTGTTGCCGAGTAGAAGTCGTGGTGGGGGTAGTTCTAACATGATAGCCCTCTGTGTGCAAATCCCCCGTTGGGCACCCTAAAATATTCACGTGATGCCCACACGTGCTGAACATGCACAGTACGACGGGTGGGGGGGGGGGTGCAATTATTTTATTTAACTGGCGCTGGCGATGAGAGAGGTGGGATCGGTGGTGGCGAGGTGCGAGGGTTGCCCCACAGCTCTTGGTTGAACAAAATAACCCCACTGAGTTTACTCCCCAAGTGCCCGCTCGCCCGCCGCTCCTCATAGCCCCCGCCTGCCCTCTCGATCCCGCCCGCTCCTCAGAGCGCACGCTTCTTGGCACGCCCAATCCTCATAGCGCACGCCTGCCCACCCGCTGCTTGTAGCGCCTGCCCACTCTCTCGTAGCGCCCGCTCCTCGTGGCGCCCGTTCCACTGCCTTTTGTCAGCTTTTTTGTTTTGGTCTCTGTAGTTTATAGGGCGGGGCCTGAAAGCGCCGCACCTGCCATCACCCAGACGAGCCGCTATTGCCTCCGGCCTCCTCCTCCCTCTCTCCGTCCCCCTCGTCGTCGTCGTCTTTCCGTTTCCGTGGGTGGCTATTCTTTTCCAGGCCGAGCCGGATTAACGATCGACATTGATCGTGCCGCCCCGTTGTGGCCGTGGAGGTGTAAATAAATAAACGGATGAGACTCTGCACGGCTGACAAAAGCAACAATGCCACGGCACTTCAGCAAACCCGCCGGCCCAGGCACGTTGAGGGGGGGGCGGGTGGTTGCGTGCGGTTGGAGCCTGGCGGCCTGTCCCGATTGCCACCCCGGTTAACGCCATGGTGGGTTCTGTACTCGGCGTGCGATATCGCGCGCCCCTCTGCTCGCCAGTATTTTGCGTGTCCCGACATGTCCGCGTCTCTCGCCCCTCAGCAAATCCCGGATGTGTCTCCCACGGGACGCTACACCACCCTGGTGCCTCTCATCTTCATCCTCACACTCGCCGCCATCAAAGAACTCATCGAGGATTATGTGAGTCCCCTGGGCGTGGACGCAACCACTGGCGGGCGCGCTCATTGTTCTGATGAGACGCGGAAAGTGGAATCTGTTCCGTTATTTGTCTGCTTTGTTCCTTGTCGTCACCGTGTTGCCCACCCACAATTCTACACTGTGATTACCGCAACCACCCACTCAGCCACCCAGCCATCCACTCACCTACTCACTCATCCACTCAGCCATCCACCCACTCATCCACTCAGCCACCCACCCACTCAGCCACCCACCCACTCAGCCACCTACCCACTCAGCCATTCACCCACTCATCCACTCACCCACCTACCCACTCAGCCACCCACCCACCCAGCCACTGAACCTCTCAGCCACTCGGCCACCAACCTACCCACCCAGCCACTCAGTCACTCAGCCATTCAGCCACACAGCGACCCACCCACTCAGGCACCCAGCCACCCACCCACCCAATTGTCAAAATTCTCAAAATATTTGTCGCTTTTCAACATTCCTGCGGTTTTGCTGAAAATCGAAATCACTTGGCATATTTCCCCATGTGACAACATGACTGGGCTGAGGCCACCCAGTTTAATCACAAACCGGTCTGTGCTAGTTAATGGGGCTTCATGTAAGTCTGCGAGTCTCTGTGCGAGTATGGGTCTCTGTGTAGGTCGATCAGTGTCTATACAATTCTGTGGGTCTCTGTGTAAGTCTACGAGTCTCTCTGTGAGTTTGAGTCTCTGGGTCTCGATGTATTTGTGACTGGGCTGGGACAGACTGTGCCACAAGACCCCCCAGACGAACGTCATTGTGGAAACGCATCGCGGCGCTCGCCACGATGTCCGGCGTTTCGCTAACGTGCCGATTTGGCACGGAATCGACAGCGGCGGCGGTCGTGGTGGCGGCACCACGGCTTTAGTGGTGGCGGCACCACGGCTTTGGTGCCGCGGGCCGACCGGTGATTGTACGTTGCGTGTAACGAGGGCATGTGACCCCTGCAGCCACTGGAGGCGCTGCGATGTTAAAATAAATAAAAAATGTAGATTAAAAAGCGATTGTTGATTTAACAAATTTTGAGGCACCTGCGTTCAGAAGCACAGCAAGTAGATTGCTCGTCAGGGCGTGTCAATGTTTCAACGTCGTTTAGGCGCACGCTGCACGGAATGTGCCCCTTGGGGACTCAGCTACACACCACTCACTGTGACTCAGCTACACTCACTGTGACTCAGCTACACTCACTGTGGTCTCAGCTACACTCACTGTGACTCAGCTACACTCACTGTGACTCAGCTACACACCACTCACTGTGACTCAGTTACACTCACTGTGACTCAGCTACACTCACTGTGGTCTCAGCTACACTCACTGTGGTCTCAGCTACACTCACTGTGGTCTCAGCTACACTCACTGTGACTCAGCTACACTCACTGTGGTCTCAGCTACACTCACTGTGACTCAGCTACACTCACTGTGACTCAGCTACACACCACTCACTGTGACTCAGTTACACTCACTGTGACTCAGCTACACTCACTGTGGTCTCAGCTACACTCACTGTGGTCTCAGCTACACTCACTGTGGTCTCAGCTACACTCACTGTGACTCAGCTACACTCACTGTGACTCAGCTACACTCACTGTGACTCAGCTACACTCACTGTGGTCTCAGCTACACTCACTGTGGACTCAGCTACACTCACTGTGACTCAGCTACACACCACTCACTGTGACTCAGCTACACTCACTGTGACTCAGCTACACTCACTGTGGTCTCAGCTACACTCACTGTGACTCAGCTACACTCACTATGACTCAGCTACACTCACTGTGGTCTCAGCTACACTCACTGTGGTCTCAGCTACACTCACTGTGACTCAGCTACACACCACTCACTGTGACTCAGCTACACTGACTGTGTCTCAGCTACACTCATTGTGACTCAGCTACACACCACTCACTATGGTCTCAGCTGGTTTCATCATCAGATTGGTTTCATCTTCATCACTACGTTAATGAAGGGCCTCCGGCTCCACTGCACTGCCTCTGTCCGTGGCCTCCTCTCATTCGCTCCGTGAGAGTCACTGGCGCGTCGGCCGCGCCGCCTCGTCCCTCCTGCGACGTTGCTGTTTGTAAGCGGCGTCTACAGCTGCTGCGCCACTCGTTCCGTTTCTCCCGTCTCGCGGCGCCTGTCCCGTGGGGGGCACGCCGAGGCATTTCGCGTAAATCGGGAACAATAGCTCGGCCCGCGCGCGGCCCGCTCTCTGGCGAGCGTTAAATTTTAATTCTGATCCGCTAATTGCCCCGCGCCTGCTCTTTGTGCGACGGCGATAATGACGCGCCGGGCCGCCACGTGCGGCGTGCGGCGTCGAGGCTAATCTCCGGGCGCTATCCGGCACCTGCGAGCCCGGGACAAAAGAGGCTGCGGGCGGCGCCGGAAAGGCCCGGTCGTTACGGCAACCCTCCCCACGCCGCAACGCGCCGTTGTCACGGGACCCGTTTTTATTTTGTGTTGCCGAGCCCGATTGGTGGGGTTTGTGGGTGAGAGTCGAGGGGGGGGGGGTGATGGAGGGTAAGAAGATTGAGAGAAATAAATAACCGTTGTAGAGTTTATTTTTTATTATTACCTTGTACTTTGCCTGGAGCCAGCGATCGTTCGTGGCAGGCGTATGTGTTCCCATTCTCGCCGTGTAAATCACGACGCGTTGCTCACTGTATTTCCCTCGGCTCTTGTCACGTCGGGACAGTGCGCATTGGTTCGGAGCGCCGAGCCAGCGACGCTGAGGCCCTGAGTTGGCATCCGAGTCTCGACTGCCCGTGATTAAATGGGGTTTTCGTGGAACAACTTCACGTTACATTTGATACTTTTTATTCACTTAATGTGGCAACATTTCAGCTTTCAGAATGAAAAATATTGGTTTTGGATCTGTGTGATGAACCATTTCTCTGAAAAAGACGAATGAGCAGACGAAACGGCCCTTCACATATAATTCGTGTCGCCACGTAACACAATATACACGTAATTCTCGCACAACCGATCAGCCGCATGGCCTTCTGGGAGCGCATCATTTCAGCAGCATTGTTTCTAGACAAGCACAACTCTGGACTGGTTTCGTCATACAGTGTCTCATGAGCACGATGAGGCTTACTTGAATCGATGCCGGTGATGAACTCGGAGATGTTTCTCTGCAGCTGGGCGTGTGGGAAAGCATTGGGTCCAGCTCGTGTTTCGCTTGAAAGCATCTCAGAAGCAGTGCTCTGACATCTGCTTCTGTGGGCCGTTCTCGAACGCACAGGGTGATGATGCACTGCCGTGGGAGAGTTCCACAATGAACGCTAAGTCTCGTGATGCTGATCGTGTCATTGAAATAAAACTTGGGAGAAAATTAGAACTTGCCCTGTTCTCTGGCTGGGTGGCACAGTCACAGTGCCCGGGCAGCACCCACGGCTAGCCGAAGCGACGGGCACTGGGGGAGAGATGCGGCCGAGTGGCAGCCAACAGAGGGAAAGCGCCCCCAAGAGACGTCTACCGCGGAAACGGAGCGACGACGTCGGCTCGTGTGCCCGCGCTGGGCGGATTGTGGCATTGCGGATTCGTCCGTCAAAGGGCGGCGACTTAGTGGGGGAGGCCTTCATCCAGCAGTGTATTGATCAAAGCTGCCGATGACGATCAGGGAGATCTGCGAGCAGCCCTGCCGAGGTGGATTTTGATGACGATAAAGACGACGATGACGACGATGATGTTTGTGTTGCGTGTGCATGAGGTGGAGCGAACGCGAAGAGCGATTGCGGTGTGGGGGGGGAGGGACAGCAGTGGATAGACCATGGCTCGAGATGATGAGGGAGCTGCCGATGACCTCGTGCATCTTGTTTGTGTTCAACAGAAGCGACACTCGGCTGACAGCACGGTGAACAGGAAAAGGACTCTGGGTAAGGCCACACAGTTGTACCACGTGGACACCAGATCAACAGTTTTCCAAATTTGATCTCAATTGTGCTCTCGGTGAGAATCGCTCGGAAAATCTCTCCGAGCGGTGCAGCGCTCCTTTGTGTCGGAGAAGGATGCGGATATCACAGAGCTACCTCCGAGATCCCATCCAGTGACCTTTCCGGTCCGTACGTGGCAGAGAGCGGTGCTGTCCCACTCGCTCGTTCGTCGCACGACAGTCAAAACGATTATATATTTACATTAACCCTTCCCCGTTCCGGGGCGTACTGCGAGTCGCAGGGTGGGGGGTGTCCCCCGTTCACCGCTGAATCCCGGCACGCGCAAGCGGCTCGGCGTTCATTTGACTGTGAGAGGCGTAGCGGCAGCGCTGCTGTTTTAAAGACGTTGTTACTCACCGCGGAGAATCACGGCGACGTGATCGCCGCACTCTCCGATAGCCGGCGGCAATCTCTGCCGCACGCCTCGGTACCGATAAAGTTATTCTATTTTAGTTATTATTCCCGTTTCGTTGTGATCATGTGCACACACGCGCGTCATCAACGGAATTCGGAAGGGAAGCTGATGGTGTGCGCACGCACGCCATCAAACGCACGCACGCCATCAAACACCACACGCACGCCATCAAACACCACACGCACGCCATCAAACGCACGCACGCTATCAAAAGCCACACGCAAGCCATCTTCCTCCGTACCATGCGTAGCCAACGGTGCTAATCGAAGCTGCCTTTGCCGTCCTCCTCACAGTGCTGAAGAACGGAAGCTGGGAGAGCATCCACTGGAAAGAGGTGGCCGCCTCACCTCACCTCACCTCACTCACCTCACCTCACTCACCACACTCACCTCACTCACCTCACCTCACTCACCTCACTCACCCCACTCACGTCACTCACCCCACTCACCTCATCTCACTCACCACACTCACCCCACTCACCTCACTCACCTCACCCCACTCACCTCACTCACCTCACCTCACTCACCTCACTCACCCCACTCACCTCACTCACCTTACCTCATTCACCTCACCACTCACCTCACTCACCTCACTCACCTCACCTCACTCATCTCACTCACCTCACCTCACCACTCACCTCACTCACCACACTCACCTCACTCACCTCACTCACCTCACCTCACTCACCTCACCTCACTCACCTAACCTCACTCACCTCACCACACTCACCTCACTCACCTCACCTCACTCACCTCACCTCACCTCACTCACCTAACCTCACTCACCTCACCTCACTGACCTCACCTCACTCACCTCACCTCACTCACCTCACCACTCACCTCACTCACCTCACTCACCTCACCACACTCACCTCACTCACCTCACCACTCACCTCACCTCACCTCACTCACCTAACCTCACTCACCTCACCTCACTCACCTCACCTCACTCACCTCACCTCACTCACCTCACCACTCACCTCACTCACCTCACTCACCTCACTCAACTCACCTCACCACTCACCTCACCTCACTCACCTCACTCACCTCACCTCACTCACCTCAACTCACTCACCTCACTCACCTCACTCACCTCACCTCACTCGCCTCACCCCACTCACCTCACTCGCCTCACCTCACTCAACTCACTCACCTCACCTCACCTCACTCGCCTCAATCACCTCACTCACCACTCACCTCACTCACCTCACTCACCTCACCACACTCACTTCACTCACCTCACCACACTCACCTCACTCACCTCACCTCACTCAACTCACTCACCTCACATATTCACTTTAAGATGTTTTTTTGTTCATGTTTTTGTTTTTTGTTTGTTGCGGTTGCACCCGATTCAAGAGCCGAATGGCTCACAGGGCTATACCTAGTAAATTAACTTGAACCTCACTCGCCTCAATCACCTCACTCACTCACCTCACTCACCTCACTCACCACACTCACCTCACTCACCTCACTCACTCACCTAACTCACCTCACTCACCACACTCACCACACTCACCCCACTCACCTCACTCACCTCACTCGCTTCACTCGCCTCAATCACCTCACTCACTCACCTCACTTACCTCACTCACCACTCACCTCACTCACCACACTCACCCCACTCACTCACCTCACTCACCTCACTCACCTCACTCACCACACTCACCACACTCACCCCACTCACCTCACTCACCTCACTCACTTCACTCGCCTCAATCACCTCACTCACTCACCTCACTTACCTCACTCACCACTCACCTCACTCACCACACTCACCCCACTCACTCACCTCACTCACCTCACTCACCTCACTCACCACACTCACCACACTCACCCCACTCACCTCACTCACCTCACTCACTTCACTCGCCTCAATCACCTCACTCACTCACCTCACTCACCTCACTCACCACTCACCTCACTCGCCCCACTCACCTCACTCGCCCCACTCACCTCACTCACCACTCACCTCACTCACCACTCACCTCACTCACCACACTCACCCCACTCACCTCACTCACCTCACTCACCTCACTCACTCACCTCACTCACCTCACTCGCCTCAATCACCTCACCTCACTCACCTCACTCGCCCACTCACCTCACTCACTCACCTCACTCACCTCACTCACCACTCGCCTCACTCACCACACTCACCCCACTCACCTCACTCACCTCACTCACCTCACTCACCTCACTCGCCTCAATCACCTCACCTCACTCACCTCACTCACTCACCTCACCTCACTCACCTCACTCACCTCACTCACTCACCTCACTCACCTCACCTCACTCACCTCACTCACTCACCTCACTCACCTCACATACACTCACCTCACTCACCTCACCTCACTCACCTCACTCACTCACCTCACTCACCTCACTCACCTCACCTCACTCACCTCACTCACTCACCTCACTCACCTCACCTACCACACTCACCTCACTCACCTCACTCACCACTCACCTCACTCACCACACTCACCCCACTCACCTCACTCACATTCACTCACCTCACTCACTCACCTCACTCACCTCACTCGCCTCAATCACCTCACCTCACTCACCTCACTCACTCACCTCACTCACCTCACTCACCTCACCTCACTCACCTCACTCACCTCACTCACCTCACTCACCTCACCTCACTCACCTCACTCACCTCACTCACCTCACCACTCACCTCACCTCAATCACCTCACCTCAATCACCTCACCTCACTCACTCACCTCACTCACCTCACCTCACTCACCTCACCACTCACTTCACCACTCACCTCACTTCCCTCACCTCACCCCACTCACCTCACCTCACCCCACTCACCTCACTCACTCACCTCACCACTCACCTCACCTCACTCACCTCACCACTCACCTCACTCACCTCACCACTCACCTCACTCACGTCACCACTCACTTCACTCACCTCACCTCACCACTCACCTCACTCACCCCACTCACCTCACTCATCTCACTCACCTGACTCATCCCACTCACCTCACCTCTCTCACCTCACCTCACTCACTTCAATCACCTCACTCACCTCACCACTCACTTCACTCACCTCACCTCACCACTCACCTCACTCACCCCACTCACCTCACCTCACCCCACTCACCTCACTCACTCACCTCACTCACTCACCTCACCACTCACCTCACCTCACTCACCTCACCACTCACCTCACTCACCTCACCACTCACTTCACTCACCTCACTCACCTCACTCATCTCACTCACCTGACTCATCCCACTCACCTCACCTCTCTCACCTCACCTCACTCACTTCAATCACCTCACTCACCTCACCTCACTCACCTCACTCACCTCACTCACCACACTCACCTCACCTCACTCACCTCACCTCACTCACCTCACTCACCTCACCCCACTCACTCACCTCACTCGCCTCACTCACCTCACTCACCTCACCTCACTCACCTCACTCACCTCACTCACCACACCCCACTCACTCACCTCACCTCACTCGCCTCACTCACCCACATCACCTCCACTTAAGGCCTCCTCGGTCCCTCGGGGTTTCTAAAATTAGTACCGTTTTGTGGGAAGTCAGCGGTAGGGGGCATCACGGCGGCTAGGAGATGTCAACCAGCCTCGCTGCTTGACGCCGCCGTCTCGTCCACTGTGGGCCGACCTCGTCGTCGCGTTTCCCCACTGGGTCAAGTTACAAAGTCCCTGAATCGCCACGAGACAAAACCGTGCGTTCAGACTCCCACAGTGCACCCACCGAGCCCCCTTGGGTTACGGCCGTGTATAAACTATTAAAAACGCACAAACTATTTTTTTATTTGTACTAGGTGAGGACCCGCTGAGCTACGTAACTCTTTCTCAGAAGCGACCTGGCCGTCACAAATGACAGCTCAACGGAGTGGTTTATTGTGTTGAAATGTATAACAGCCAAATACTCTAAACGCACGATTCTAAACGTGGAAGGAAAACCCGGAGCACCCGGAGAAAAATCCACGCGATCACGGGGAGAGAGACACACAAACTCCAAATATACAGCAGCAGGCGTCAGGGTCGGGATCGAACCCACGACCTGCGTACCAGGTGAGGGAGTTAACATCTCCTAGCCACCGTGGAGCCCCATGTGTACGGCTCCTTTGCTCAGTCCGCTGTTGGATGATGGGGGGCACGCCAGCTGAAACGCCTAGGGCAATGTCCTTAATTCCCGCCTCCACCACCAGCTCCCAGCGGTATAATTGGGCACGCGTGCGGTGGGGTCAAAAGTGGCTACTCCCACCTCGACCGAGATGCCTGCCCAGCCGTGGAGAGGGGCTCTGCACAGCTCCCTCTGGTGAAGGCCCTTCCCACAGCCGTGGCGAGAGTGAAGCGCTTGGGGGGCTGCTCCTACGCCTTCCTTTTCCACTGCCGATAAGTTTCGAGGGCCACCCTCTCGCTCCAATAGGCCACGGGTGGCCTCTGCCCCAGCGCGTAGTCCGTGGCGCCGCGGCTCTGACTCCGCCTGCGATTATATTGCCTCCGCAGAAATGAAAAAATTTGCGCACGTCAGCTGCCATCGCCTCGGAACATTGCTGGCAGTAAACTCGTAAACCGCGCCACTTCTTTGCGAATCAAAGTCAACAGACGCGCTCCGTTATCGCACGCGTGCAGCAATGCACCGTTGACCTTAAGGCCACGTCGTTCGGGGCGTCGTACTACGACGTCGCACGATAACAGGGCCCCATGACGATCGTCCCCCGTGCCAACATTTACGACGCTTCTGCAGTCGCATTCCCTTCAGTCGTCGATCGATGAGGGAACGGCGGGTAGATTGCGCGCGTCGTGTGGTTTGTTGGCGAAGACAAACGATCCATCGACCGGTGTTTAGCAAGCCGGCATGGCTAAGATCCCGGGTTTGAACCCAGGATTTCTGCCAAACCGAGTTCTCAACGAGTCGATGGGTCTTGTCACGGTCACCGGTGACTGTACAAAAAATAAAAACCCATTGTGTAGAATTTGGTCGTGCTCTTAAATCTGGCTAAATTCGACCTCTGAGAATAAAAAGATACCGGTTTGATCGTCACGCAACGAGCATTACATTCATGTGGCTGAGCGGGTGGAAAAGTACTGCCCTGTACCGTGCGATCCAGAGATCACTTGAAGAAGAAGGGATCTCAGAAGTAGCTCTGTCATATCTACTCCTACGGGCCGTTCTCGAACACAGAGGGTTGCACTGCCCTCACAGGCACGGTGTGTATATCCCTGCTACCACTACCTCCCTCACCATGCAAGCCTCACAGGCACGGTGTGTATATTCCTGCTACCGCTACCTCCCTCACCATGCAGGCCTCACAGGCACGGTGTGTATATCCCTGCTACCACTACCTCCCTCACCATGCAAGCCTCACAGGCACGGTGTGTATATCCCTGCTACCGCTACCTCCCTCACCATGCAGGCCTCACAGGCACGGTGTGTATATCCCTGCTACCACTACCTCCCTCAACATGCAAGCCTCACAGGCACGGTGTGTATATCCCTGCTACCGCTACCTCCCTCACCATGCAGGCCTCACAGGCACAGTGTGTATATCCCTGCTACCGCTACCTCCCTCACCATGCCAGCCTCACAGGCACGGTGTGTATATCCCTGCTACCGCTACCTCCCTCACCATGCCAGCCTCACAGGCACGGTGTGTATATCCCTGCTACCGCTACCTCCCTCACCATGCAAGCCTCACAGGCACGGTGTGTATATCCCTGCTACCGCTACCTCCCTCACCATGCAGGCCTCACAGGCACGGTGTGTATATCCCTGCTACCGCTACCTCCCTCACCATGCCAGCCTCACAGGCACGGTGTGTATATCCCTGCTACCGCTACCTCCCTCACCATGCAGGCCTCACAGGCACGGTGTGTATATCCCTGCTACCGCTACCTCCCTCACCATGCCAGCCTCACAGGCACGGTGTGTATATCCCTGCTACCGCTACCTCCCTCACCATGCAAGCCTCACAGGCACGGTGTGTATATCCCTGCTACCGCTACCTCCCTCACCATGCAGGCCTCACAGGCACGGTGTGTATATCCCTGCTACCGCTACCTCCCTCACCATGCCAGCCTCACAGGCACGGTGTGTATATCCCTGCTACCGCTACCTCCCTCACCATGCCAGCCTCACAGGCACGGTGTGTATATCCCTGCTACCGCTACCTCCCTCACCATGCCAGCCTCACAGGCACAGTGTGTATATCCCTGCTACCGCTACCTCCCTCACCATGCAGGCCTCACAGGCACAGTGTGTATATCCCTGCTACCACTACCTCCCTCACCATGCCAGCCTCACAGGCACGGTGTGTATATCTCCTCGAGGCAGCTGCTGTGCTGGTAAATCTCTTTAAGTCTTCCCGGAACTTTAAACGTCCTGGTTGGATGTTCCCCTAAGTTGCTCATGGTCCACCCTAAACCACATCTACTGCACAAACTGTGGCAGCAGGCGGATATCCTGATGATCCGCAAATGTAAAATTACAAACTGTCCAGTAGCGTGCGGTTGAGGTCATCCAGAACAGACCGCACGACGTACAACGACGCGACGCTCCGACCCACAAATACGAAGAAGGGGACATCGCGGCGATGATACACTCCGCTTGCTCCTGGCACGGTTATCTGGCTTCACCTCCTGAATGTGAGAATGTAGTCGTTGCTCCGTATCTGCATCAGCAGATGTACGACACGAAGAAGACGGCTCTTTAAATATCCTGGGATTTTTCACTGGTGTACCAGTAGTAGTCGTAGTAATAATAATGATGGCACAGTTTGCCCCCCAAGGCACCCGTAGTTCTCTCGCCTCATCGTGCCACGTTCTCCCTCTCTTATAATACATTTATACAGCGCCTTAACTAAGGCGCGGTACGGTGAACTAACTGTGGTATAAGATGGTTGGTGAGATTAAACGAGGCGAGTGGGATGGGATTCGTGGTGGTGGTGGTGACATTGCGTGAAATATAAGAAGATAAAAATGGGATGAGTGGATTGATGATGGGTGGCCATGGGGAGTTGGGGACAGGGAATGAGGCGTTAGTACGAGTGGGGAAGACAACAAGGGGAGAAGGAAGGGTGGGGCAATAGATAATAAGTGGGTTTTAAGAGAGGAGTGGAAGGCAGTACGAGAGGGTTATTGACGTGCAAGGGCAGTGTATTCCAGTGAAGATGAGGGGGGGGGGGCTAGGAGAGAGAGGAGGAGGAACAGAAAGAGACAGTGAAGCGACCGGGGTTTGCAGTACCTCGAATAGATGACAACCCTGCCAATTACAGACAGCACTTGCCCCTACAGACAGCTAAACGGGTGGTAGTGGTGGGGGTGATGGGGGGGGGATTCTTTGTGCTTTGTCAGGCAGCTGATCGCGTGACGCTGCGCACCGACACGCTCCGCCGTTCCGCGCGGCCGGGCGCACCTGACGACTCCCCTTTCAATGGGGGCAGGGGGGGGAATTAGCGACATTAAGTTTTAATGTATGTGGCCTGGCTAATGGATGACAATTACATTGGACACGCACACCTCGGATCGGGTTCTATCGAAACCTTCTGTCCTACAACGGTGCGGATTAACTCGCACGGCCGTGCGTGGCTGTTTCCACCGGTACATCGTCATCATCATTGTCATCGTCATCATCGTTGTCATCGTCATCATCATTGTCGCCGTCGTCATCATCGTTGTCATTATTGTCATCATCGTCATCATCGTTGTCATCATCATTGTCGTCAACATCGTCATTGTCATTATTGCCATCATCGTTGTCATCATCATCGTTGTCATCGTTATCATCATTGTCGCCGTCGTCATCATCGTTGTCATTATTGTCATCGTCATCATCGTTGTCATCATCATTGTCGTCAACATCGTCATTGTCATTATTGCCATCATCGTCGTCATCATCATCGTTGTCATCGTTATCATCGTCGTCATCGTAATGCTGCCACAGTAGCGGTGGCACGTTTCGCAGCGCACCGAAACTCACAATCCACAGGTCACCCGCTTCGATGCCTGAAACAGCGGTGGCAAGTTTCTTAAATGCCCCACGGCCTGCGTCCACCCAGCTAAGGCGTTGGTTTCACTGCCTATGGAGGGTTCTGGTATGGGGTGCGTGGATCGCTCCCCTCAGATCGCTCTGTGCTAGCACCTCGGTGGCGCTGCCAGAGCAGTAATACATCTGCACTGCTGTTCACCACGTGACAAATCGGAAATACCAGTCGTGAAGCCTCCACCGCGTGAAACCCACAGGGCGCAGTCCCCACCATTGTCAAGCAGTCCGTTTGTTCTCCTGAAACTAAACTCAACTTTTTATTTCACCAGGTAAGGCCCAACTGAGCTCTGTAGCTATTTTCTGAAGCGACCTGGCCACGAATGATAGCTCAGCAAAGTGGCTGATCATCACCTGGAAAATTTCTGGAAGCCAAATATTTTTAAGCGCGTGATGTTTCTAAATTAGGAGGGGAAACCCCGGAGGACTCAGAGAAAAATCCACGCGATCAAGGGGAGAGAGAGAAACACGCATACTTCAAATATACAGTGGGCGACAGTGTCGAGATCGAACCGACGACCTCCTGTATACCAAGCAAAGTAGTTAACATCTCCTAGGCACCATGTTTATTATATGTTAAGGGTGGCCCTCAATATACAAAACTGTGGGCTGCAGTCCCTGCGGACCGCACGCTGAGCGGCCTCACAGCCTCAGCTCACTCCGTGGGCATCACGACAGCCTCCCTCCCTGCCTCCCTGCCTCCCTCCAGGTGGCGGTGGGCGACCTCGTCAAGGTCACCAATGGGCAGCACCTGCCGGCGGACCTCATCCTCCTCTCCTCCAGGTGACAGAGGGAGCCGCTGCGTCACGGTCACCACGGCGATCCATTCGGCCGGTCTCGTCGCGTGTCGGAAGCTAAGCGGTGTTTGGGCCTGGGCAGTGCTCGGATGGGTGACCACCACGCGTAGAGCAGGCGCTACAGGTCGCGGGGCGACGTCAGCAGCAGACGGCAGAATGGCAGAATCCATTGTTGTTCTGTACGTCTATGCCCCCCCCCACCTTCACTGAACAAACGCTGAACTCGCACAATTAAGTTTCGTCTTCGAACCCCAATAGCGTGGGGAGGCCCTCGTTCAGCCGTGGATTGACACAAGAGCCGTACGTGGATATGATCATCATCACCATCGTAGACATGGTTAAGCGTGTGTCGATTTTGGTGGCCGCATCAACATCGCCATCCCTAGTCATCAGCATCACTCTCATCGTTATTGGCGGCACCATCATCGGCATCATTGCCATCAGCAGCCGGTACGCAACAATCGATCCAAGCGTACGTTCATATAAAATCTCATGCTTACGGAGCACGCACGCACCTCTTCGCTTCTCGAAGCGCAGTGCGTGGAGAGAGTTTGAAGAGCGTAACGCAGCGCTTAGGGGAGGCCGGGTAACGCAGCGCCTAAGATCGGTGGAGGTGTGGCCGCCAGGGTTAGTTAACGGTTGACACATTGGGCGGCCCATTAGGCCCCGGGATTGATAGGAGCGTGTGCGTTTGAGCGGCGTGGCGCTGGCAGAGAGCGCAGCTGGGGAAGGTTTTTGTTCGTTTCCTGGCAGCTCCCGGCAGCACTCCGTGGCCAGGGGACGACGGAGCTAATCGCTGCAGCGCTGCGGTGAAGCGAGCCGCATTCTAAACACATGATGTCGAGTACGGTTGTTTTTTTCTCCTTGAAAGGTCACCGTGTTCCTGGTGAGCGCGTGTCGAGCGTTTGGTTAATTTGTCTCGCTGTGTCGGTGTGGTGACATCGTCTGGCGCAGTGAGCCCCAAGGGATGTGCTACATCGAAACCTCGAGCCTGGACGGAGAAACCAACCTCAAAATCAGACAGGTACCCGTCGCAGTGCACCGCGTAAAACCCAGCGGTGCACCCACAGATCAGCCCACGGAAAACCGTGCGGCTGCGCCTCCGCTGAAGCGTTGCCGCAAAGCTTGTGTTGCACATCCGTGCGTGCGCGTGGTGTCGCCGCTCTGCTGTGGCCACCCGCCACCGTGGCCTCGCTGATTCTGATCGTGTCGAGGGAGGCAGGGTCGTGTTCATATAGGCACGGCTATTTTTAGCCCGGCGTTGAGGTCGGAGCCTGGGTTGGTGGCGGACTCGTTACTACTCATAGGCGGCTGAAGTCTGGAGTCGAACCCAGGTTCTCAGCGGTGTCGCTCAAGACCTTTGAGCCACCCAGGGCCAGACTAACTTAGGGCAGAATGAAAGCGTCACATGCCTTGGCATGTACGTGCAAGGTCATTGGACTTTTACAACGTTCCGTTGGCTGGGTCACGTAGCCCGCATGCCCAACCATATTCTGTTTGGCCGGATGGAGGGGGCTAAAAACAGGCGCAGCACGGGCTGGAGAAGAGATGGACTGATGCAGTACAGGAAGATGTAGAGCTGAGTGGACTTGCCGAGCGGTGTCAAGCTCGGCCTCTGTGGAGGAGACGTTACTGGGCAGTTGGAGGCAGTCGCTCTTCAACAACAGCGGCGGGCAGACCAGCAACGCTCACAACAACGAGCGGAGCGCCCGGTGGCTAAAACGCAGCAAGTTGGCACAGTAGGGGGTACAGCTGATGCATCTTCGAGTCATCTCCGTCGGTCAACCAGTGGCACCTGGGTCCGCCCCGTGGCATCCTGTCGGCGAGCCATCGACACTTCACGTACGTGGCCTCGACGTGCACCTAGCCCGGCACGGATACCGTGGCGACGTCACTTAGTGGTGAATGGCGGCCGTTGGTATTGGTGCTTTAACATTGCACCTCGGTCTGTGCTCCACTTCACATCCCGTCACTACGGCGCTCTCTCGCCCCCTGGTGGACGGGGAGAGTCCAGGCAGGTTGAGCGGGGGAGGGAATGCCGACTTGGAGACACCGCGTGGGGAGGCATGAGGAGCGGACGCTCGCTCGGAGGCGAGAGCCCTGCGGAGGAAGCTGCGGCGGGGCCGGGGACGCCGAGGAGAAGCTGAGCGGCAGAGCTAGAAGAATGTTGTTTGACGACTTGAAGGCAGGGCGCGGTGGGGAGTGGGGGGGGTAGAGGACGGGAGAGGAACGGGAGGGGTGGCGGGAGGCTTCGCCAGCCTGCACTGCCGGCGCGTTCCCACGTTGACGGTGCTTACCTATGGGCAGAGCCGCTGAGTCACCTGCGGTGTGGGTGAATGAGCTGCCAAGTGAGCGAGCTGGTAACTGCGTGTATGTGTGTATATTCAACTTTTTTTGAACTGTACATAGCCGACCGTGCTCATCAGAGGTGCATTGCTGAGTGAGAGCATGGGGGCGATGGGTGATTAAGTGATTTGGTGGGTGAGTGAGTAATAAGTGAGCAAGCAAGTGGCTAATTTACTGAGTGAATGTGTTGGGTTGGTGAGTGAGTGAGTGAGTGGGCGGGGGAGCGAGCGAGTGAACGAATTAGCGAGATGGTGAGCGAGCGAGTGAGTGAATGAATGAGAGAAAGAGTGAGCGAGTGGGTGAACGAATGAGTGAGATGGTGAGTGAGCAGGTGAATTAATAAGAAACAGGGTAAGCGAGCGAGTGAATGAATGACTGAGACAGTGAGCGAGTGCGTGAATGAATGAGAGAAAAAGGGTGAACGAGTGGGTGAACGAATGAGAGAGAAAGTGAGTGAGCGGGTGAAGGAATGAGAGAAAGGGTGAGCGAGCGAGTGAAGGGCTGAGAGAGCGAGCGAGGGGCGCGTCGAGTGTGCGTGCCGCTGACCCCACGTGTCCCTCGCTCCGCAGGGCCTGGCACTGACGAGCGGCGGCGTCTCCGCCGAGCAGTCGGCCGCGGTAAGCGGCCGCATCGAGTGCGAGCCTCCGAACCGCTTCCTCTACGACTTCATGGGCAACATCACCCTGGACGGGCACAGGTCACCCACGCCACCCACGCCACCCTCGCCATCCACCCACCCACCCACCCTCGCCACCCTCGCCACTCGCTCTCGTAGCGCTCCGTGCCCGTGCGGGTCGTGAGGGTGTGGTCCGCGTGGCTCTGTGGGTGCAGTCCGCAGCCGCTGGGGCCAGACCAGGTGCTGTTGCGTGGCGCTCAGCTGAGGAACACCCAGTGGGTGGTGGGCGTCACCGTCTACACGGGCCACGACACCAAGCTCATGCAGGTACCCCCACGCCCTCGTCACCCACGCCACCCACTTCACCCGCACTACCCAGGCCACCCACGTCACCCACACCACCCGCATCACCAACGGCACCCTCGCCACGCACGCCGGTGCCAAGTGATGTCTGCGCCGGCCCCGTGCGTGCGTCTTTGTTTTCTCTTGGGGGGCGGCAGCGGAGCGGTTAGCTCACTGCGCTACGAACCCAGCGACCCGAGTTTGATTCCCGCTCACGGCCACCATTAGTGATAGCTATCTTAACTGGTCCTGGGCCTCCTCTTGGTCAAATCAGCCTCAAAAAGAGTACCTGGTACCTGGTTCAATGTGTAAACATCACCACAAGGGAGACAAAGGCGGCCCGGCATGGTGGTGGCCACCCACCCCCCCTCGTGTGCCATGCTGGTTTTCAGAGGTGCTCGCTTCCAGTACTTTCCCCCACAGTTTGTTAAGGCGAGAGGTCTTTGTGTGTGTGCGCATGTGCGCGTGGGTGTGTGCACGTGGGTGTGTGCGTGTGTGTGCGTACGTACGTGCATGCGTGTGAGTGCGTATGTGGGGGTGGAGTGTCCGTACAAAGTACCCAGGCAGGTGCTTAGTTTTGGTGGGGCTGATGGTAATGCTCCACCTCTTAGTGGCACGCTCCAGGCTCAGCAGCAGTGCCTCCAACTCCTCCTCTGAGTGAGCAGCAATTACCAAATCATCAGCATACATAACATGTTCTTGGTTCTTTCGGTAAAGTCACGTAGAAGGGAAATAATAAAATAATATAAATATAAAACAATATTATATTTATATAGTTTATTTTTTTCCCTTCTACGTGACTTTACCGAAAGAACCAAGAATATGAATCCCTGCAGTCACGAAAGCTTTAAATCAAAATACATAACATGGTTGACCAATAGGGAGCCATCCCTTGACCGCACCCAGGCATCGATCAGCCTACTATTGTATCTGTACCAGATGGAAATTCTTCCGGTACAACAATCCAAGGCTTCACGAACTACGTGGTCGAAATTGATGTTAAATAATGTGGGAGCCAGAGGACATCCCTGTCGCACCCCAAGGTGTACAGGGAATGGTTCCGACTCCCGGCCACGTTTTACCCGGGCCCGCTCACCATCATGAAGGTCCTTAATGATCGTGAGCAGAGGGTCAGAGACTCGGAAAGCACGAAGAACAACCCAGAGACAAGGCCTACTGATCATAGGCCTTGAACAGGTCAATAAAGCAGAGATATAGGTCTTGTTGGAATTCCCTACACCTCTGCTGGTGATGGGGCAGTTGTGGAGAGAGTGGAGAGTTTCCCATACCTGGGCAGTGTGCTCATGACCGGCTCCGGTTTAACAGCAGAGGTCTCACTCCGAATCAGTCGAGCGGCATTATATTTTCATCAGTTGCGTAACGCTCTGTGGAAGCTACCTGGTCTGTGTTGCTCCGCACGAAGCTTCAGGTCTTCTCGGCCACAGTCATTTCCTCCCTTCTCTACGCTTGTGAAACGTGGACCCCCCTAATGGAACATCTTCGCCGGTTATAAACATTTAGGCTGGCCTGCCTACGATCACTCCTGGGTTTAACCAGGCTGGATTGTGTGAGGAGCTCACAAATCTCGAAAGATCTGGACAAAGTCCCATCGGTGAGCTCCTCCGGCAGGCAAGGCTGCGTTGGCTGGGTCATGTAGCCCGCATGTCCAGCCACCGCATGCCTAAACAGCTTTTGTTCGGCCGGATCGAGGGGGCTAAACGGGCGCGGCACGGGCTAGAGAAGAGATGGAGTGATGTGGTACAGGAGGACGTGGAACTGAGTGGACTTGCCGATGACCGGTACCAGCGGTGTCAAGATCGGCCTCTGTGGAGGAGGCTCGTGAAGGACGCTACTGGGCAGTTGGAGGCAGTCGCCCTCCAACAACAACGGAGGGCGGAGGAGCGACGCTCACAACAACGAGCGGAGCGCCGGGTGGCTAAAGGACAGAAAGTTGGCACAGTAGGGGGCACAGGTGGTGCATCAGCCAGTCATTCGGTCATTTCAGTCAGTCGACCTGTGGCACCTGGGTCTGCCCCGTGACCTCCTGACAGCGGGCTTTCGACACTTCACCTGGCCTCAACGTGCACATAGCCTGGCACAAGCGTCGTGGTGACGTCACCGCCACTTAGTGGCGAATAGCGGTTGTTGTTGTGTGTGTACGTGTGCGTGTGTGCGTGATCTCAGAACTCGACGAGTGCGCCGCTGAAGAGGTCGAACATGGACAAGGTGACCAACGTGCAGATCCTAATCCTCTTCGTCATCCTCCTCGCCATGGCGCTCATCAGCTCGATTGGCGCCGAGGTGTGGAACCGAGAACACAGCAAGGGCGACTGGTACCTGGGCTTCATGGGTGAGCGCCCTCCCATCCTTCCTCACACCCAACCTAGCCTGGCACGGGTATCGGGGAGACATCACCGCCACGTCACCTGGTGACCGACTGATTCTCCTGCCCTTGTTTGCCCGCGTGTTTGTGTGCGCGTGTGTGTGTGTACGAGCTCGCTGACAGCGCTTGCTCCAACTGTCCGTTGGTAATGGCTCTCTGCTTGTGCAGGAGCAATGGCGCAGTGGTTAGTTTCCCGCTCGCGACCAATATCGGTGACGAATATCGGTGATCCCGTCCTCTGAGCGAAACTCGGCCTCAAATGAGTACCTGGTGTAGTCTGTGAATATCGCCACTTGGGAGACAAAGGCGTGGTGGTGGTGGCCACCCGTCCCAACAGCACTTGCCCCGGCAGTCTGTTGAAGGCTACATGGGGGATCTTTGTCTTTGCGTGTGTTTTGTTGACGTGTGTTTGCACATGTAGATGTGAAAGCGGTGAACTTTGGCTATAATTTCCTGACGTTCATCATCCTCTACAACAACCTGATCCCCATCAGCCTCCTCGTCACGCTGGAGGTGGTCAAGTTCACTCAGGCGCTCTTCATCAACTGGGTGAGGCCCCCCGAGATCGATTTTAGCATCATCAGCATCATCATCAACATCATCAGCGTCATCAGCATAAGCATCATCTTCATTATCGTCTTCATCAGCAGCATCAATAGCATCAGCAGCATCAGCAGCATCAGTAGCATCATCAGCATCAGTAGCATCATCATCAGCATCATAATCGTCATTATCAGCATCATCAGCGTCATCATCATCGTCTTCATCAGCAGCATCAATAGCATCATCAGCAGCAGCATCATCAGCATCATTGTCTTCATCAGCAGCAGCATCATCAGCATCATAGGCATCATCGTCAGGCGCTTGCAGATACTGTTTGCTGGCAATACGATCGTAACGTGTAGGAGTTTGCAACGTTATGATTCAAAACATCAATACAAACTCAATACAAACTCGATACAAATTCGATACAAACTCGATAGAAACTCAATACAAACTCAATACAAACTCAATACAAACTCAATACAAACTCGAACTGAATAGAAACAACAATCCTCACGGCGGACATTAAACGTCACTGGCAAGAGCCGGCCGTCGTGCGATGGCGTCAGGCTCCAATTTGGCTAAAATGACTCCGCAAGTTCCTCCACCGGGATTCTCCCCCCACGGCGGCGATCATCGCCCCACTCCTGATGCACCGATGCCCCCGCATCACGCTAGACAATGGCGCTCATCCTGCTCTCTTGAGTTCTCGCCCGGTTGAACATCAAACTCGAATCCGCCACGTTCACTCTCCGCGTACACGAACGTACAAACTACGCACGGAGAGGCGCCCCGAGTCGGGCATCGAACCCGGGCGCTTGTTCGCGCGAGCGCTGCCGCCCCGCGCGTGCGATTGACTCCGTGTCCTCGCAGGACGCCGAGATGTACCACGCGGAGAGCGACACGCCCGCCATGGCACGCACCTCCAACCTCAACGAGGAGCTGGGACAGGTTCGTGAGGGCGAGCGGGCACATGCTGGGGGCTTGGTTTGTGGGTTGGTGAGTGGATGGATGGGTGGATGGGTTGGTGAGTGGGTGGGTGGGTTGGTGAGTGGGTGGGTTGAGTGGGTGGGTTGAGTGGGTGGGTGGGTGGGTGGGTTGGGTGGGTTGGTGAGTGGGTGGGTGGGTGGTTGAGTGGGTGGGTGGGTGGTTGAGTGAGTGGGTGGGTGGGTGGATGAGTGAGTGAGTGGACGAGTGAGTGGGTGGGTGGTTGAGTGGGTTGGTGAGTGGCTGGGTGGTTGAGTGGGTTGGTGAGTGGCTGGATGGGTGGATGGGTTGGTGAGTGGGTGGGTGGGTTGGTGAGTGGGTGGGTTGAGTGGGTGGGTTGAGTGGGTGGGTGGGTGGGTTGGGTGGGTTGGTGAGTGGGTGGGTGGGTGGTTGAGTGGGTGGGTGGGTGGTTGAGTGAGTGGGTGGGTGGGTGGATGAGTGAGTGAGTGGACGAGTGAGTGGGTGGGTGGTTGAGTGGGTTGGTGAGTGGCTGGGTGGGTTGAGTGGGTGGTTGAGTGGGTGGGTGGGTTGGTGAGTGGGTGGGTGGTTGAGTGGGTTGGTGAATGAGTGGGGGTTGAGTGGGTGGTTGAGTGGGTGGGCGGGTTGGTGAGTGGGTGGGTGGTTGAGTGGGTGGGTTGAGTGGGTGGGTGGGTGGGTGGGTGGATGAGTGAGTGGATGAGTGAGTGGGTGGGTGAGTTGGTGGGTGAGTTGGTGAGTGGGTGGGTGGTTGAGTGGGTGGGTTGAGTGGGTGGGTTGAGTGGGTGGGCGGGTGGATGAGTGAGTGGGTGGGTGGGTTGGTTGAGTGGATGGGTGAGTGGATGAGTGAGTGGATGAGTGAGTGGGTGGGTGAGTTTGAAGCTGGCAGCTGGGGTCTCTCCTTGTATTTACTCTCTGTAGGTTTTCACGGTTGTGCTGCTGTTCATGAACGCCGCCGCCGTTGTATTAAAAAGTGACACTTCATTTATTATTATTAGTTATTATTATTCATTATGGCTATCAGATTTCGTGATGCGATACGATATTCATTTTCACGACACGACGATAATAAATTCGGTTTCTCCTTTGAATTTGAAGCAGCACATTGCCCTTGCGATTTGTTTTTGTGTTTCGACACTTCCAATGTGACCACCAACTCACCCCTCAGGGAAGTTGTTCCACTCTGCGAGAGCTCCGATCGGAGTCTTTGACCTCGCGACGCCGACGCCCGCAGCACAATCGCGAGAGAATTTGGGGAAGCAAAAGAATAAAATAAAATAAAAATACGAAGATAAATGTGAATCGACGCAGCGGTGTGTGTGCGTGCCGTGTGCGTGTGTGCCATGTGTGTGCCGTGTGTGCGTGCCGTGTGTGTGTGCGTACCGTGTGTGTGTGCGTGCCGTGTGTGTGCCATGTGTGTGCGTGCCGTGTGTGTGTGTGCGTGCCGTGTGTGTACATGCCGTGTGCGTGCATGCTGTGTGTGTGCATGGTGTGTGCCGTGTGTGTGCGTTCCGTGTGCGTGCCGTGTGTGCGTGCCGTGTGCGTGCCGTGTGCGTGCCGTGTGTGTGTGTGTGTGCGTGCGTGCCGTGTGTGTGTGTGTGCGCTGCCACCCTCAGGTTAAGTACATTTTTTCGGACAAAACTGGAACCCTCACCTGCAACATCATGCAGTTCAAGAAGTGCTCCGTGGCCGGCGTGATGTACGGGTACGTCTCTCGCTGCTGGCATGATCCGTGCGGGGACGGACCGTGGCACTGCCACACACACACACAACTTTAATGACCGCTTTGAGGCCAGCTTTGTCAAGCCGCACAATGACGACAATTTCAAGCGCCACCACGTAGGCGGTGACGCCGTCACGGCGCTCGTGCCAGGTTAAGTGGGTTCACCAACTGAGACGACTGGGAGATGCACCACGACCTGTGCCCCCTGCCGTGTCAACTTGGCGTGCTTTAGCCGCCTGGCGCTCCGCTCGTTGTTGTGAGCGTCACTCCTCTGTCTACGGCTGTTGTTGGAGGGCCGCTGCTTCCAACTGCCCTGTAGCGTCCTACTCACCCTCACCCTCTATCCGGCCAAACGGAAGCTGCTTCGTCGTGCGGTGGCTGGGCCTGTGGTGGCACGTGTAGCCTTAATAGACTGTCGGGGCAAGTGCTGTTAGCGAGCACCTATGAAGGCCGGCACGGCACTCGAGGGGGTGGGTGGCCACCACTTTGTCTCCCGAAGTGGCAATGTTTACATACTGCACCAGGTACTCATTTGTGGCTGAGTTGACCAGTGGATCAGGACCACTTCAGATAATCGCCACCGGTGTTGACAATGAACAGGAATCTAACTCGGGTCACTGAGGTTTGTAGCGCAGCGCGCTAGCCGCGACACTCCTCCACGACCCACGTGGAGATACTGGGGAGTCAGTCGCCTTCTCTCCGGCATCTCGGCCACGCTCGTTCTGATTTTGCTTCTCTTCTGTGCTGTTGAAAGTCGCTCAAGAGTTAAAATAAACTAAAGACAAGGGAAGCCCTCCGGCACACCTGCCTCCAGGACATGGGTGCCGAGGGGAATACTTTTAGCAGTGGCTTTCATCTACCCGATGTTCGGTCAAAAAGGAATTGGCCAAACATCGTGATGCAAGACACTCGGGAGAGGCTTTTGGGGATAAATAAAGAGCATTATTTATATTTCATTGTTAATCAGATCGCCATTCCTTCGTGGCTAGCGCACTGGACTTGCAATCCAGAGGTCGCCGGTACGACTCCATCTCCCAGCGCGCCAGTTGGAACAACGGTGCAAGTTTCCTAAATCCACCAAGCAATACAAATGGGTTCCACCACAGTTGGTCGACCGACAGGTCACGTGCTTGTGGGATAAAGTGTGGGTGCTCTCACCTCTACCGAGATGTCCGGCCAGTGTGGAAGAGTAGGCCAAAATACCCTCCAGAGGGGCCTCTCTATTGGAGGCCCTTCTGCCAGCGGTGGTGCCAGCGAGCGGTTGCGGGGGCTGTTGCCCGCGGCTTGCCGAGCCGACGCTGTAGTTGGGGCAAGGGTAGACAAAGTCTGACCAAGTCAGCCACCGTGGCGTCGTCGTTGTTTTAAATCCCAATTGGAATGTTTTTAGAAACGTGCGTCTAGATTGTTCACATCATGTTGCTGCTATAAATGTCTGCGTGATAATAAGCCACTTCGTTGAGCTATCATTTGTGGCCAGGTCACTTTTGAAAAATAGCTACGTACCTCAGTGGGGCCTTACCTGGTTAAATAAAAAGAGTTTAGTTTTACTTCGATTTTTGTAAGTGATTTTTTTACCTTTCCTATACTTTGCACTCCTACCGTGTTGTTGTATTGTTGTTGTAACGTTCTGACCTCGTACCCCTCCTGGACATCTGTGATAAGAACTTTATAGCTCATCCGATTGCCTCCAGCGTAAATAAAGATTCTCCGTCTCTCTCGATGGCCCCCAGGAACGAGGCGGCGTCGCTTGAGAGCATCAAGGATGGCGTCTGCACGGCCGTCATGGAAAACTTGCAGTGCAATCACGTGAGCCGCTCACACGCCACGAACCACCAATCACACGCCACGAACCACACGCCACGAACCACACGCCACGAACCACACGCCTCGAACCACGAATCACACGCCACGAACCACAAACCACATGCCACGAACCACAAACCACAAGCCACCAATCACAAACCACACGCCACGAACCACACGTCACGAATGACATGCCATAAACCGCATGGTTAAATAGTTCCTTACACCCCTGGTTGTGGGTTCTATCCGAACCCTGACGACTGCTGGAGTTTGCGGTGTCTCTTTCTGCCCATGATCCCCTCATTGAGAATCAACAACACGCGGTCAGAGTATTTGGCTGCTCTACACTTCCACGTGACGATCATCCACTTGGTTGAGCCATCACTTGTGGCCAGGTTGCTTGTGAAGAATAGCTTCATCGCTCAGTGGGCCTTACCTGGGAACATAAAAATAGTTGGTTTTAAAACTAGAGACACGGCGTTAACCCTGCCGGTCGGTCTCGCCCCGTGGTGGTGCCATTTGTCTTCAGCCCACGAGTGCCGTGATCCGGGATTTCCTCACCATGATGGCCGTCTGCCATACGGTGATTCCCGAGCGCTCCGAGGGAAGCATCATCTACCAGGCCACGTCCCCCGGTGAGCGCCGCGTACACCCCGTGGTGGTGGGTGGGTGGTTGGTTGGGTTGGTGGGTGGGTTGGTGAGTGGGTGAGTGAGTTAGTGAGTGAGTGGGTGGTGAGTGGGTTGGTGAGTGGGTGGGTGGGTTGGTGAGTGGGTGGGTTAGTGAGTGGGTGAGTGGGTTGATGAGTGGGTGGGTTTGTGTGTTGGTGAGTTGGTGGGTGGGTTGGTGAGTGGGTGAGAGGGTTGGTGAGTGGGTGGGTGGGTTGGTGAGTGGGTTGGTGAGTGGGTGGGTTGGTGGATTGGTGAGTGGGTGGGTGGGTTGGTGGGTGGGTGGGTTGGTGAGTGGGTGAGTGAGTGGGTGGGTTGGTGGGTTGGTGAGTGGGTGAGTTGGTTAGTGAGTGAGTGGGTGGGTTGGTGAGTGGGTGAGTGGGATGGTGAGTGTGTGGGTTGGTGGGTTGGTGAGTAGGTGGGTGGGTGGGTTGGTGAGTGGGTGAGTGGGTTAGTGAGTGAGTGGGTGGGTTGGTGAGTGGGTGGGTTGGTTGGTTGGTGAGTGGGTAGGTGGGTTGGTGAGTGGGTGGGTGGGTTGGGGAGTGGGTTGGTGAGTGGGTGGGTGGGTTGGTGAGTGGGTGAGTGGGTTGATGAGTGGGTGGGTTGGTGGGTTGGTGAGTTGGTGGGTGGGTGGGTTGGTGGGTTGGTGAGTGGGTGGGTGGGTTGGTGAGTGGGTGGGTGGGTTGGTGAGTGGGTGGGTGGGTTGGTGAGCGGGTGAGTGAGTGGGTTGGTGAGTGGGTGGGTTGGTGGGCTGGTGAGTGGGTGGGTGGGTTGGCCGGAACGGGCCTGGTGATTTCAGAAAGTCCCCGGTGTCGTGAAGTATTTTTTAAACAAAACTGCGGATCTTGTCCTTGAATGTGGCCGCGGTCCGCTGCCACAGCGTCATGGTTAACGACCTGGACTTGCGATCCAGAGGTCGCCGGTTCGAATAGATCTCCCGGTGAGGCAGCTAACACATTTGGAACCTCCGTCCCCGTCGACCCAGCAGTACGCCAGGGTACATCGCACTTAGTCGATGGGCAGGTCGCGCGTGGTGTGGTAAAGTGTGGGTGCCCCTCCCCGCCCCTTCCAAGGTGCCTGGCCAGTGTTGAAGAATAAGCCAGCTCCCCTCTAGAGGGGGGCTCCCTCTAGTGCAGTACCTTCTACCAGCAGTGGCATGAGCAAGACATTGCAAGGGTTGTACCTAAACCAGGGGTGGGGAACTTTTTTTCTGCCAAGGGCCATTTGGATATTCATAACATCATTCGTGGGTCATACAAAATTATTAACTTAAAATTTGTGTGTTATATTTGGTCAAACATTTTATTAACTCGCCCCGAATGCGATTGCTGGAACTGCTTCTCTTTGGCGAGGCGTGTGATGTTAGCTGGTAGTTGATGATGTTGCTACTCGCAGCTGCTTTTCCAGGTTTGCTCCTAGATTTATTGAATTTCGAGTCCCGCCTGCGGTTGCCTTGGCAGGGCCAGACCAAATGATTTAGCGGGCCTTGTACGGCCCGGGGGCCGGACGTTCCTAACCCCTGGCTCCCTTTTTCGTGGGAGGGGCTACCTGGGGAGTGGGAGGGGCAACCTGTGGAGTGGATAGGGCTACCCAGGGAATGGGAGGGGCTACCTTAGTCTTGTGTGGGGCTACTTGGGGAGTGGGAGGGGCTACCTGGGGAGTGAGAGGGGTTTGCCTGGGGAGTGGGAGGGGCTACCCGAGTGGGAGGGGCTGCCTGGGGAGTGGGAGGGGCTTCCTGGGGAGTGGGAGGGGTTTGCCTGGGGAGTGGGAGGGGCTACCTGGGGAGTGGGAGGGGCTGCCTGGGGAGTGAGAGGGGCTACCCGAGTGGGAGGGGCTACCCGAGTGGGAGGGACCACCCGAGTGGTTGAGTGAGCGTGGCCATGGAACGGTGGGAGGGGCTGCCACTTTGCCACTTGTCCCGGCCGAGCCTCGCGTACACGCGGTGGATCGCCGCGTTGGTTTGACTGACGCGCTCGCGTGCGTCGCGTGCGACCGAATGCAGACGAGAGCGCGCTGGTGCGAGCGGCCAAAGACATGGGGTTCACGTTCTGCGGACGCACGCCCTGACTCCATCATCATCGACGCCGTACGTTCGTCCCCTCTCCTCCACTACACCCACCGCGCGTCCCGCGCCGGCGAAGCTGCAGGCGTGGGTGGCTTACCCCAAGAATCGATCGATCTTTATTTATATATTTGTACAAGCACCCCCACACGTCCTTTGGTCGCGACCATCCATCCATCCCCACAATTCGGGCGTGATGTCCTGCCAGCCAGCCAGCCAGCAAAACTTTTTGTTCTATGTAGTATGAGTGTGATGTTAGGGTGCCACTCAAATTTCCACGTTGTGTCCACCACGTTTCTCGTTTCAGCTGGGCAAGGAGGAGACCTACAAGCTCCTCAATGTGCTGGAGTTCTCCAGGTCTGTCTGTCACGGGAGGACTACCACTTTGAATGGACCACCCGCCCAAACCCACCCACCCACTATCTAAAACCACCCACCTATTGAAACCCACCCACCAACTAATTTCCTCATTCAACCACTTACCCATCCACTCACTGACTCTCCCATCCTACCTATTCACCTACCCACTAACCCACCCACTGAATCACTCACCCACTGAATCACCCACCCACTAACCCACCCATTGAATCACCCACCCACTAACCCACCCATTGAATCACCCACCCACTAACCCACCCACTGAATCACCCACCCACTAACCCACCCACTGAATCACCCACCCACTAACCCACCCACTGAATCACCCATCCACCTACCCACTCACCTGCGTGTGCATGCGTCGCCCTGCGTGCCGCTGCAGCAATCGCAAGCGGATGTCGGTGATCGTGAGGACGCCCAGCGGGAGCCTCAAGCTATACTGCAAAGGAGCGGTGAGCGTGGCCTTCTACTCACAGTGGGCGCCACGGTGGCTAGGAGATGTTAACTACTTCGCCTGGTTTGCAGGAGGTCGTGGGTTCTACCCCGACCCTGACGCCTGCTGCTGTATATTTGGAGTTTGCGGGCCTCCCGCTCTCCCCGTGGCTGCGTGGATTTTTTTCCAGGTCTTCCGGTTTTTCCTTCCACATTTAGAGTCAACATGCGTTTAGAGTATTTGGTTATTATTAATTTCCACATGATAAGCCACTTCGTTGAGATATCACTTGTGGCCAGGTCGCATCTGAAAAAGACCTACATTTCTCAGTGGGCCGCCCCAATTAATACTGCGGTTCGTATTAACTGGGCAGATCAATCGCTCTTTATTTTACGTGCTAATGTTGCCCTTCATCAAGTAGGTATCAGTGCATATTGCAATGGAAGGGGAACGCTACAGGGGGCATGCAGAAACATGAAAGATAACAAAAACCCATCACGCCCTCAGTGGCTAACACCGACTGAGCAGAGTAAATTGTAGCCATGCGCTTGATAAAGTGCAACCGTGTGCAACAAACCGCGTAAGAAAGTGAAGCAGGTAAATACAAATGAATGAAAATGAAAGAGGCAGACGGTCGCCGTCCGCTTCAGAGCGTCGCGTAAATGGATCCCGCGTCGTCGCTTGCAAGAGCTGGCCACCGTGCGCTGGCGTCACCGTCCACGTTTGCCAAATTAGAAAAAAACGTCAACGGCAAGCGACTTCACCTGGGATGTAACACGCGGCAATAATCGGCCCCTCCTGCACAAACCTGGCAGCACCCTCCGGAGAACGAGTCGGGAGAATGTCCCGGGTGAGACGGTGGAGTTGTTCGGCATGATAGTCGCATCTGTAGTGCCGGTCGTCTTAATGCCCTCGCAGCCTCGCAGCCTCTCGGGATCCGTGAGCGCTGCCGGCTCCATCACTCTCGTTCTGTTGGGGATCCGGCAACGTTGTTACAAATGGGCGTTGTGTCATCCGCCGTTGTTGGCCGCGTCGTGAGGTCGTGACGGCCCAAGCGAGGCCCACCACCGCCACCACCACCACCACCGCTACCGGGTACGGTGCCGGCAGGCCGGAGCGGCCCGCCGTGGCCTCACGGAGCGGTGGGTTCTGCGTTGCAGGACAACGTGATCTACGACCGTCTGGCCTCGAGCGCGCTCTACAAGGAGGCCACGCTGCAGCACCTGGAGGAGTGCGCCAGCGAAGGTGAGAGGGCAGCAGCGGCGGCCCGGCACACCCTCGCACCGGCACGGTTGGCTACGTATGGTGCCAAATAAGTTCACGGTACATACACCCCACACTCCACCCCACGCTCCACCCCACGCTCCACCCCTCGCTCCACCCCTCGCTCTACCCCACGCTCCACCCCTCGCTCTACCCCACGCTGTACCCCGCGCTCCACCCCGCGCTCCACCCCACGCTCCACCCCTCGCTCTACCCCACGCTCCACCCCACGCTCTACCCCACGCTCCACCCCACGCTCCACCCCACGCTCCACCCCTCGCTCTACCCCACGCTCCACCCCGCTCCACCCCACGCTCTACCCCACGCTCCACCCCACGCTCCACCCCTCGCTCTACCCCACGCTCCACCCCGCTCCACCCCACGCTCTACCCCACGCTCCACCCCTCGCTCTACCCCACGCTCCACCCCGCTCCACCCCACGCTCTACCCCACGCTCCACCCCACGCTCCACCCCACGCTCCACCCCACGCTCTACCCACGCTCCACCCCACGCTCCACCCCACGCTCCACCCCACGCTCCACCCCACGCTCTACCCCACGCTCCACCCCGCTCCACCCCACGCTCTACCCCACGCTCCACCCCACGCTCCACCCCACGCTCCACCCCGCTCACCCCACGCTCCACCCCACGCTCTACCCCACGCTCCACCCCACGCTCCACCCCACGCTCCACCCCTCGCTCTAACCCCACGCTCCCCCCCGCTCCACCACACGCTCCACCCCCAGCTCCACCCCACGCTCTACCCCACGCTCCCACCCCCACGCTCCACCCCGCTCCACCCCACGCTCTACCCCACGCTCTACCCCACGCTCCACCCCACGCTCCACCCCACGCTCTGCCCCACGCTCCACCCCACGCTCCACCCCACGCTCCACCCCACGCTCCACCCCACGCTCCACCCCACGCTCCACCCCACGCTCCACCCCTCGCCTCTACCCCACGCTCCACCCCACGCTCCACCCCACGCTCCAACCCCACGCTCTACCCCCCACGCTCCACCCACGCTCCACCCCACGCTCCACCCCACGCTCCACCCCACGCTCCACCCCACGCTCCACCCCACGCTCTACCCCACGCTCCACCCCACGCTCCACCCCACGTTCCACCCCACGCTCCACCCCACGCTCCACCCACGCTCCACCCCACGCTCCACCCCTCGCTCTACCCCACGCTCCACCCCACGCTCCACCCCACGCTCCACCCCACGCTCTACCTCACGCTCCACCCCACGCTCCACCCCACGCTCCACCCCACGCTCCACCCCACGCGCCGCCCCCCGCTCCACCCCACGCTCCACCCCACGCTCCACCCCACGCTCCACCCCTCGCTCCACCCCACGCTCCACCCCACGCTCCACCCCACGCTCCACCCCACGCTCCACCCCACGCTCCACCCCACGCTCTACCCCACGCTCCACCCCTCGCTCCACCCCACGCTCCACCCCACGCTCCACCCCACGCTCTACCCCGCTCCACCCCACGCTCCACCCCACGCTCCACCCCACGCTCCACCCCACGCTCCACCCCACGCTCCACCCCACGCTCCACCCACGCTCCACCCCGCTCCACCCCACGCTCTACCCCACGCTCCACCCCACGCTCCACCCCACGCTCCACCCCACGCTCCACCCCACGCTCCACCCCACGCTCCACCCCACGCTCCACCCCGCTCCACCCCACGCTTTACCCCACGCTCCACCCCACGCTCCACCCCACGCTCCACCCCACGCTCCACCCCGCTCCACCCCACGCTCTACCCCACGCTCCACCCCACGCTCCACCCCACGCTCTACCCCACGCTCCACCCCACGCTCCACCCCTCGCTCTACCCCACGCTCCACCCCACGCTTTACCCCACGCTCCACCCCACGCTCCACCCCACGCTCCACCCCACGCTCCACCCCACGCTCCACCCCGCGCTCCACCCCGCGCTCCACCCCGCTCCACCCCACGCTCCACCCCACGCTCCACCCCACGCTCTACCCCACGCTCTTCCCCACGCTCCATCCCGCTCCACCCCACGCTCCACCCCACGCTCCACCCCCACGCTCTACCCCACGCTCCACCCCGCGCTCCACCCCGCGCTCCACCCCACGCTCTACCCCGCGCTCCACCCCGCGCTCCACCCCACGCTCCACCCCACGCTCCACCCCGCGCTCCACCCCGCTCCACCCCACGCTCCACCCCACGCTCCACCCCACGCTCTACCCCACGCTCTTCCCCACGCTCCATCCCGCTCCACCCCACGCTCCACCCCACGCTCCACCCCACGCTCCACCCCGCGCTCCACCCCGCGCTCTACCCCGCGCTCCACCCCGCGCTCCACCCCGCTCCACCCCACGCTCTACCCCACGCTTTACCCCACGCTCTTCCCCACGCTCCACCCCACGCTCCACCCCACGCTCCACCCCACGCTCCACCCCACGCTTTACCCCACGCTCTACCCCACGCTTTACCCCACGCTCCACCCCACGCTTTACCCCACGCTCTTCCCCACGCTCCACCCCACGCTCTACCCCACGCTCTTCCCCACGCTCCACCCCACGCTCTTCCCCACGCTCCACCCCACGCTTTACCCCACGCTCTTCCCCACGCTCCACCCCACGCTCTTCCCCACGCTCCACCCCACGCTCCACCCCACGCTCTACCCCACGCTCCACCCCACGCTCTTCCCCACGCTCCACCCCACGCTTTACCCCACGCTCTACCCCACGCTTTACCCCACGCTCCACCCCACGCTCTTCCCACGCTCCACCCGCTCCACCCCACGCTTTACCCCACGCTCCACCCCACGCTCTTCCCCACGCTCCACCCCACGCTCTACCCCGCGCTCCACCCCGCGCTCTACCCCGCGCTCCACCCCGCGCTCCACCCCGCGCTCCACCCCGCTCCACCCCACGCTCTTCCCCACGCTCCACCCCACGCTCTTCCCCACGCTCCACCCCGCGCTCCACCCCGCTCCACCCCACGCTCTTCCCCACGATCCACCCCACGCTTTACCCCACGCTCCACCCCGCCGTACGCGGCCTGCTGCCCGACTCTTGCGCGTGCCACCATTTGGACCGCCGATTGTCCACCCAGCGGAGTCCACCCAATTTTTTAACTGCCAAGCTGGGAGATGGAATCGAACCACGCTACCTGCAGCGCAGATGACGGTGATGATGGCCTTGATGGCGATGATGGCGATGATGGTAGTGATGGTAATGATGGCGATGGTAGTGACGGTAATGATGGTGATGATTGTGATGATGATGATGACGGTTATGATGATAGTGATGATGGCCATGATGGTGATGACTGATGATAATGGTGATGACAGAGATGACGGTGATGATGGTGATGACGGTGATGGTGATGACGGCTATAATGACGATGGCAATGGTGATGATGATGATGGTGGCGATGACAATGACGGCCGCGATGGTGATGATGATGGTGATGACGATGATGATGGCGATCATGGCGACGGCAATGACGACGACGATGGCGACGGTGCCGCTGGGCAGGCCTGCGCACGCTGTGCTTTGCGGAGCGGGGGCTATCGGAGGCGGAGTTCGAGGCGTGGCTGGGCGAGTACCGCGAGGCGAGCACGGCGCTGCACGAGCGCTCGGCCCGCCTCGAGGCCTGCTTCGAGACCATCGAGAAGGTGCCCCTCCTGCACCGCCACCGCCGCCGCCGCCACGGTCGCAATCTCTCC